CGTTTTAGGGGGGCGTGGCAGAGTCTTAACTTTGATAAAGAATATCTCTTTGGTTTTGAGACTAGTCTTTGCAACTTCAGGGATCTTATCTATGCACAATCAGCTTGTAACACTCCAAAGAGAAAGGAAAACTTGAAATCGCATCATATGACCGCTTTAACATGAACATCTAGATTTTTCTTGTTGACAGTTATTCCACAGTGCACTTTTTTCTGAATACGCAATTTTTTGGGAGCAAGCAGGGATTTAACAGGCAAGGGGACTCCTTCAGCCACAGCTGTTTTTTTAAAGGCAACTGGTGCACTAGGAACAATTGGTTCACTGGTGGCAACTGGTTCATTGATGTCAACTGATGCACTGGGGACAACCGGTTCACAGGTGACAATTGGTTCACTGATTGTAGCTGGCTCAACAGTGGCTGGTTTTGTAGGTGGAACTTGTCTTTTTTTGCATGATGCTAAATGTTCTATTTCATCTAAGTCAACACGCCACAGTATGGGTCAGCCTTGCTAAGGATGAGATGTCAGGAGACGGTATATCAAATTAACCACGCCCCGCTTGCAATCACGGTCTATAAATACAGGTGCGATGTAGCCGGCGCTTTCTCTTTTTTGCCTCCTACATATCGATGAAAGCTGTTTGATCTCTTCGTCTCTGGAGACGAAAGCTATCTAACTGATTTCAGTTTCCTTGTTTTATGATGCAAGAGGAGAACACCACTGGTTTACCCTCTGAGATGCCGGCAGGCAAAGAGCCATTTCGGTCTGAACGAGATCCTCAGGAGGAAGGTGTCAAACGCAAACAAGCTCGTAAACGCAAGCATGTAGAAGGGGACATTGGTCAACTTCAGAAGCAAATGCAAGGTATGCAGGAGACCCTAAACACTTTGTTAGTGGCTCAGCAATGGGTGGCAGAACCTCAAGACTTAGGGGTGCCATTGTCAAAACGTCCATGCCGCCACCCTGATGAGCTTTCAGTGGCAGCATCTGGAGTGTTTGGAAGGGATGAAGATTATTTGCCTTCAGAACCAGAGGATATCTCCGAGTCAGAAACAGGGGATAGTGCTTCTGAGGCCTCAGAGGCTATTGCGCTGGACCCTTCAGATAAAGCAGTGATTTCCAGAGCTGCTGAGCGTGCAAAACTGCCTTCCCAGGCTGCTTCAACATCAACCTCAGTGTTTGATAGAGGCCCTCAGCGTCATAAAACAGAGGGGTTGCCAATACTTCCTGATTTTATAACAGAGTTGCAGGCTTCCTGGAAGGCCCCTAGTTCTACGGCCCTCCCTAGGACACAGCTGGGCAATCTGGCAGGGGCAGTAACTTATGGGCTTGCTTCAGCTCCTCAGATCGGACCCACGTTTGCTATGTTGACTGGGGCTATGGCCAGGACTGGAAGAGATGCTACACACCCTAACAAGCATGGTAGAATAATTGACAGTCAGCTGCGGAAAGCCTATCAGGCCTCGGCCTTGTCGGCAAGACTTGCATGCACAAACTCTCTCCTCTTGGTTTATTTAGAGGGTCTGCTGCAGGATTTGTCCTCCACTTTGACAGAGGAGGAAAACATCCCAGAAACATTGCGAGTGGTTGATATGCTGATCCGAGGAACAAGTGCGCACGCCCAAGCCCTGGGGCAATCCATGGCCAATATGGTTCAAGCACGCCGTCAGGTATGGCTATCTCAAGCTAATTTGTTAGATCAAGATTGCATGGCTGTCATTGCAGCTCCATTAGTGCCTGGGGAGGTCTTTGGAGCCCATGCAGAAGCAGCTTTGGAGCAGTCTCGTAGAACAAGAGAACTGACTCGATCAGTGGTTAGAGCACCAGCTACTCGTGGGCAACGCACATCAGCTGGGAGCAGTAATTGGGCTCGGGCAGAATCAGCAAACCAGGCCTTCATAGGTCAGCGCCGGTCTGCTGCCCAAGGTGCACCCATAAGACCAAGCCAAGGAGTCCGGCAGTCCTTTCGTAGGACACGACAGCCAGAGTCTTCCAGCACACGTGCAGCAGGAGGGAGGAACCGTTACTGACGGTTATCGACCTCCGGCCCCACATTTTTCCAGTCAACATCTCTTCCACTGGCGCCAATGCACTCAATGTCCATGGGTGCTGAGCACCTTGGAGCTAGGATACAGGCTCCAATTCAAATCCAAGCCACCCCAATTTCAAAGGATTGTTCCTACTGTTTTGAGAGAAGAGACACAGTGCAGGTCTCTGACAGACGAGGTCTCAGTTCTTTTAGGAAAAGGAGCAATAACACGCCTGCCCTCGGGTTCAATAGGGCAGGGGTTTTATTCAACCTATTTCCAGATTCCAAAGAAAGGTGGGGGTCTTCGGCCCATCCTGAATCTCAGGAAGTTCAATCATCATTTAAAGCGACTGCCCTTCCGCATGCTTTGTCTTTCAACCCTTTTAACCTTCATCAGACAAGGGGATTGGTTCACAACAGTGGATCTCCAAGATGCCTATTTCCACATCCCAATTCACAAAGACCACAGAAAGTACCTCAGGTTCTACTTTCAGGGCAACGCTTACGAGTACAATGTTCTCCCCTTCGGTCTGTCATTGGCTCCCCGCACCTTCACCAAATGTATGGATGCGGCACTCATTCCTCTTCGTCGTCAAGGCCTACGTATTGCCAATTACCTGGACGATTGGGTAATTTGCTCTCCTACAGAGCAACAGGCCAGGAGCAACACAAAGGTGGTCCTTGCCCACTTGAAGAAATTGGGGCTGACTCTGAACAGCAAAAAGAGTTGTCTCACTCCCACAAGGGTAGCGACATACCTAGGCTTGAGTTTGAATTCAATTATAATGAGAGCATCTCTGACTCCACAGAGACAGTCAGTGTTGAAAGAGTGCCTGTCCGAGTTCCTCAAAAAGGAGCAAGTTACAGTGAGATTGGGTCGGAGACTGCTTGGCCTAATGGCGGCAGCCAGTCAGGTGGTGCCATTGGGGTTGCTTCACATGCGCCCATTACAGCGATGGATAGCAAAGTACCAAGTGAGTCCATACGAGAATGGACAGTGACTGATTCCAAGAGACCTGGATTGTCTTCCAACTGTCAAGTGGTGGCTCTCAACTCCAGGCCTGAACGAGGGAGTCAAGCTGGGCCCGTTATGTTCAAGGGAAACCATAACAACAGATGCCTCACAGGCAGGCTGGGGTGCTGT